AAAAAAGTTATAAGAGATTAAAGTTTATATGAGTTCAAAAAATTGGCGTTTAATATAAAAAAAAGAAAACATATATAGGTTTTTAACCAATCAAAATCAATTACTCAAAAATTAGCCAATTAGAATTGATTATATAAGCGCAAAAAATTGGCGCCTATATGTATAGATTGGATGTCTCTTGCTGTCCCACACTGTATTAATATAGTACTATGCTATATAACAAGAATTAGTGCCTATGTTTAAAGATACCTAAAGTCTTTTATATAGTCTATAAAGAGAAATAATAATAATAAAGCAAAGTTTTACAATTGAGATATATTAAATGTTGCAATTAGTATATAATTTTTTAGCCTAGCACAGATTATAATAGTGCACTTTTTTTATATATATATTATGACTATGACTTTTTTTTTTGTTTTTTCTATCTTTATCCTTTATATTTTATTCTTTATTTAGTATACTTTTTCTTTTTTTTTCTTTTCCTTTATATTCTTTTCTTTTATAACCTTTTTATATATATTTTTTTATTTTTTAGTTTTTCTTTTATTGAGATAAATTATAGTTTAGTCTTTATGCCAAGATCTAGATAAAAAAAAATTAAAGAAAAAAGGTGGTTATGATAGGCTAGTAGAACCTGGCTAGTAAATTGTAGATTTAAATTGAAAGATTAAGAAATAGCAAGAAGGCTACTTCTACTTTGGCAGATTGTACAAAGGTGCTATTCTTGTAATCAAGTAGGTCATATTTTAGTTATGAGATAATTAATACTAAAATAGTAATAATATTTGTTAATATAATTACTTTATTAAATAAAAATATAGTATAACTACCAAGTTAAAAAAAAAAGAAATTATATTATAAAATTAAGCTATACAAATTTAATTACTTGGTTTTTATAATATAAAACCTTTAAATAGACCCAGCTGGCTAGCTTTTTTTTTAAAAAATTCATTTATAAAATTTTATAAAATTTATATAAAAAATTTTTGAAAATTTATCTGATTATTAAAACTTATAAAAAATAAATTAAATTAAATTAAATATATAAAAAAATAATTAATAATAATTTAAATTAAATTATATAAAAAAAATTAATTTAAAAAAATTTTAATAAAATAATTTTAAAAAACAATTTAATTGGTAATCCACAAGTTAACCAAAGAGTGATTATAGTAAAATGTGATGTAGATTACTTATAGAAATTGGGGCTTTGCAAATATAACATGTACAAATCTAAAACTTTTTTATACTAAATTAACTACTCTTTTAACTTAAAAGAGCTTGTTAAGATATATTTAATAGTAGTTAAATAATTTAAATTAGCCTAGTAGATGCCAAGATATCTTTAAAAAACTTTTTTTAACTATATAAATTTCTTTAAAACAATACTTTAGTTAAGAATTTTGCCTAAAATAAACAGTATAAATTGCACTTTGTATGATATAAAAATGTTAATTACATGATTCTAGATCATTTGGTTATACAAAAATTATATATGATTGACCAATCAAATTTAACCACAATAAAATTTGCTTATTAATTAAAAGAAGTTAGTTTCTATCTACTTTTTTTATAATTGTTTATTCAAGAGATCAAATAGGATTATTTAAAGTAGATATCTTATATTAGCTATTTATATATTATTTAATATTGAATAAATAAAATAAAATTTTAAATAACTCATGGTAATAAAAAATATTACATAACCAATCAAATTCATAGTATGATGCAAAAATTATTCTAGAATATGATTTTTTAATTTAGTAAAATCTCTAACTATACTATTGTTTTACAAAGAAATTTATATAGTTAAAGAAAGGTTTTTTAAAGATATCTTGGCATCTACTAGGCCAATTAGATAATTTAACTATAATTAGATACATCTCAACAAGTTTTACAAAGTTTCTTAAGCTAGAAGAGTAATTAACTTAGTATAAAAAAAGATTTTAAATTCACATATAGCATATTTACAAAGCTTCAATTTTTACAAGTAATTCACATTATGTTTTACTATAATCACTTTCTAGTTAACTCATAGGTTACCAATTAAATTAAACAAGTAAAAAAAATTAAAAATATTTAAAAAACATTTATTATAAAATACACTTATAGTAGATTTACACTTATTATATATTTTATTATATTTTCTAGATTTTTTTAAGTTTTGAATATAAAAATTTTTAATACATGTTAGTATTTAGAGTTAATATTAGATTGAAAAGAGTTTTTAGAGGTATAGATTATTTTTATTTAGAATATCTTACACAAATAAATTAGCCAGTTTTTAAGATAATATATATATAGATATAAAATATTATAAATACATTTTAGTAAAATTTTTAAAAAAATTTAAAATAAAAAAATAAAATATATATATATATATAAAATAAATCTGAATATTAAAAAATAAAAAAAATACATATATATAAATTACAAAAAAGATTAAAAAAAGAATATTTCTAATTTATACCACAAGTAATTATTATCTGTAGTTAGTGTTATATATAGAACATGTTCATACTATAAAAAATATCCAATATTCAAGATTGTTTGAAATTGTCTAAGCCTATATCTTAAGCTTAAATAATCAATAAAGTAATTTAAAAAAATATATATTTATATATTTTTTTAGGTCTGGATTCATTTATAAAAAAATTAAAATAGATTATCTTAATAAAATTTTAAGCAATTGTAATTTAAAAAAATGTTCAAAATTGTCCAAAACTATCCTATATACTATACTGTCTATAGTCAATTTGTCAATTAAAATTTAGAATTAAGTATAATGTATAAATTAATTTTGTGCAATAAAAACAAAGAATTTTTTAAAAAAATACTTATATTATAAAATTTTGTCTATGAAACCACCTTTTAAGCTTTAACAAAAAATAATTTCTTGCTAAATTTTACTATATATAAAGCACTATTCTAACCCTAACCTTAATTCTAATATCTAATCTTAATTCTAATATCTAACTCTTATTCTAATCTTAAAGTAGAAATTATTTTTTTAGAATAGAATACTTCTTCGTTAAGATCGGTAAATGTGAAGCCATCAAATCCCTTATGAATGATTACTTGATACAAAATCCGTAAGTTATCAATAGTATACATATGATTTGTAATGATTGAAATACATAATTTTAACAGACTGCAGGTCTGGATTAGTTTGATCCTATTCATTTAAGTGAAAATTATCACCAGGATCCACGATACTTTAAAATTATTGACGCCTTCATTGAATTTAAAGAGATATCTCAATGTGTTGCTGAAGGTTTAAGTCAAATGATAAAAAAAGATTACATTTGTGCAATTGGCCATCTTTATAAAGCTTTAGAACTTGAAGAATCGTGACTAAAACGTTTAATATCGAATTCGTCATGGTTAATATAGAGTCATTACGACGAACTAAGTACATTATCTCATATGCGAAAATTTTTTTAAAGGTTTGTATCTCTACATTATTTAAATTATTAAATTATTATTAATTGTTTATTGATCAGTGTTATTTGATATACTGTAAATATTCTTAATGATAATGTTTTGGAAAAGGCCAAAAGGAGTGAATAAATTAGAGATGTCAATATGCCTTTGATTAATGAAATAGATTCTGGATTTACACCATGTATCAATAGTACTTCACCATTAGAACCTTGTAATTACTGTAGTAAATGCAGATTGTGTTATAATTTCTTGCATTAAATAGCTTTACCGTTGAAAATTTAATAAGAATTTACATATATGTACTTACCAGGTTACAAAATATAAAATTGATACTTTAATTACCCTCAAAGAACATAAGAATGCATCCAATAATATCCCTTACTTTACATTGTATTATACATTTCGAGTGAAAGTCTTGATTACTCAACTATTGTAATAATTGGTGGGCTTTTTTATGTATTAATACAGTCTTTTACCCTTGATATAGTTGTAAATTCTATATATTCTTCATTAAGCATCTACTGTATTTTTATATTCAACAAATTTACGTATAAACGCGAAATAACGTTCAGGGATGTACTTTCGAATTTTGGCCTAAATTAAGATTAATTCGGGTCATTAATCAAAATAACGTCCCTGGTCGTTATTTCGCGTTTTCATAGTACGAAGGTAGTGATGCTCTTTTACACATTATTCGCATCTTTTTTGATTGAACATATTTTACAATAACTTATACAGTCAGACCTCTCTAAATGCATGGCGTTGGGCTAACAAAAAACCTTGCATTTAGAGAGGTATTGCATTTAGGG